TGCACATGGAAATGCTTGAGTGGCGTCCTGATCCATCTCGGATGGGAGCACCGAGTCGTGCCCGCTTTCTCCATTGGATGTCTGCTACTACGACCTGGCGTGCAGCACCTGTGCCTTCGTCGGTACCTGCGCCCAACCCACTTTTCTGGTTCCCCAACTCCTCTCTTAATCAGATGGATGCCGACCCGCTGAAGTCCAAGCCTCGATCTGGGCCGTCCGAGGAAGCCTCTGTGGATTACGAATATCCCCCCGACGATGATGCAGCTGCCCACGCTGACTACCCTTCGCCTACGGACGAGGACCTCCGCACCATGGATGCCATTAGTGACAGCGCTACGATGTTGGCCCAGGGCCCTCCGCCACCATTCGAGGACGAACTCATGAGCGACGACGAGTGCGACTACCTGTTCGGTCCCAGGGCCAGACCATCTGGAGCATGGCAAGTACAACCGCTGGCATTACCACCCGCGCTTCCGTCGTGGCCTGCGGCAAGCTCAGGTGATCCCCCGCCGCCTGGTGCCGATGCTGATGTTCTTGCCTGGCTGGGCCCTAATCGTGCTTCGCCCGCTGCCACCTCTGCGGTGCCATCGCCACCTCAGGCTCGCCCCCCTCCTCTGCGACTTCCTGGTCACCACGTTCACTTCATCCAGCCACAGGCTGAGGCAGGGGGGTCCCATGAAGATCGGGATAACGGCACGACGACACATCCTGAAGCTCCTCCCCATTCTTTGGCGCTGTCCTCTCGCCCTGCCGTGTCGCAGGTTAATGGCTCTGCTGCTACTGCCGCCTCTGCGGCAGCATCGTCGGCGTCTGGTCTTCCGGTCTTCCTCCTGTGTACGATGGCGGCGCAGCACCTGTCGGTCAGCATCGCCCTGGACCTCATCATCCTCCTGGCGCTCATAGACAGCTACTCCGTCCCCATTGGTGTCCGCAGGGGGATCCCAGAGTGCTACTCCGTCCTCGTTTGCCTCCTCGTGAGCGCGCTGCGGGCCAAGGGGGTGTGTTGGGTCCCCAGGATGCTAACACTGGGCCTTGGGGTTCGAACGAGTCGCCGCAGTGGGAATCGATACAGCAAAACACATTGGACGCGATTAACTTGCTGATTCCCCACATCCGCCCACCATCTTCGGCGACCTCCATGGCGACGCCTGCTCCATCATCTCCGCCAGCTGCTCCACCCGTCGTGGGCTCTAAGCATTCTGGCCACCTAGCTGCTCTTGAGCCTGATCAACTTCACCTGGCGCCGCTCATGCTCCACGCCCTCTTCCCCCCCTTCACGGGGGGCAAAGTGGGCCTGATTACCTGGCGATTACTGCATCCTAGCAACCTGCTAGTAGAAGATCCGTCTGGTGCTGCGGATGCTGAAGCCATTTTTCACGACGAGCAGCCTGGACCTCCTGATGACGATCTACAAGAGGAGGCGGAGGATCCTGAGTTCCTCCCGCTTATTCACGAAGCTGACAACTGGCCGACGGACATGGCGGAGTCGACCCGACCTTCCTCGAGCTAGCAGCGGAGATCGCTGGAGGTGTTTTCCCCGACCATGTACTTGATTTTCATCACGATCTTGACGACCTCATGGGCGTCCACACCGACGACGGCGGCGACGTCGAGAACGTCCACGTCGGCAACCCCCTGACGTCAACACGATGGCCCTGGGAGGCATCGAGGCGGGCGCGCGCGCGGCCGAGCGCGAGCGCAGGTGATGAGGTGACGAGACGTTTTGGGACGCTCGCTCCTCCCCTGCCGCCCACCGGTGGCGCCCGCGGCGCCGCCCGCCGCGCCCCGCGGCCGCTCGCAGGGCCCAGGCGAGAGTCGCGGGGCACCTGATGCGCTGGTTCCGGGAGCTGGCGCAGCACCGAGGCAGGCAGCCCGCGAGGCTGGCCGCAGCCTTGGCGAGGGCGCTGGCCGACCGAGGGCGCGGCCACGGCTGGCGGCGGCCCTGGTGGGGGCGAGACGCCGCCCGAAACGCGCGCGGAGGCGGTGGCCCCGGAGGCTTTGGCGGCCGCCCGCGGGCCGGGGCCGCGGGCAAGACCTGCTGGAACGGCTGCGGCAGGAGGCCCGCGCCGAGCGGCGGGCGGAGGCCGCGCGCGGAGCGGGGAACTCGGCGGGGGCCGAGGACGAGCCCAGGCCCGAGGCGCAGGCATTTTTTCCCTGGGGCAATAGCTGTGCAACGGCACAGTGAAACTGTCACGGAATACCTCTTGGAGGTGGTGACCATGTCGAAAAGTCAGAAGAACAGTTAAATGCCCGAGGCGCAGGCAGAGCGGCAGACGGCGGCGGAACGCCCGGCGGAGGCCGAGCCCACCCACGAGGGGGCGCAGGAACTGGCTGCGGCGGGGGCCCAGGAACTGGAGCTGGCCGCGGCTGCGCGGGCTGAGCCGCAGAAGCTGCGAGCCAGTGCCGCCTGGCCGAGCGGGACGGCCCTGGCCGACCGAAGCCGCCGCGGCGGCGAGCCTGGAGCAGGCGCGGCTGCGGCGCAGAGAGGCCGAGCGTCAGGAGGATCGCCCCCGCGAGCGCGAAGCCTTCTACGAGAAGGTGGAGGGCCAGCTGCATGCGAGCCGACGGGCGCAGGCCACGGCCGACGCGGGGCGCTTCCTGCGGCTGCGCGCGCGCCCGGCGGGAGCGGCAGACCGCGGCGGAGGCCCCGAGGACGCGGGCCGAGCAGCAGCACGACGGACACCCAACCAGCACGAGTACTGCCACCTTCCTTGGAAGGCATGTCGCAGCAGATGCCCGTGACGCGAGTCGCGGGCGGATCTCGGAGGTGGAACGCGGACGCCGCCGACGAGGCCTTCAGCGCGCCTCCCCGCGCCTCCGCCAGATGCGCAGGGAGAGGGCGGTCCCCAGGGGCGCGGCCCTCTGAGCGGTGGCGGCCCGCGCCCGCTCATCCCGCCACGGCCCCCTGCGCCTCCGCCAGGCGCGCGGGGAGTGGGGGCGGCCCTCTGGCGCGCGGCCCTTGGAGCGGGGGTGGCCCGCGCCCGCCGTGGAGCCGCTTCCGCCGACGAGCGCCGCGGGCTGGGGCGGAAACTCGGAAACTCCTCCTCCATCTCCTCCCCTTCCTCCCCCTCCCCTTCCCCCTCCTCCGCCTCCTCCTCCTCCTCCTCCTCCTCCTCCTCCTCGGGCCGCCTACTGCCCCAGCGTGGGCGCCTCGTGGGCGCAAGGTGCGCTCGCTGGGTGTGCGTGCCGTGTTTTTTTTTTTTTTTTTTTTTTTTTTTTTTTTTTTTTTTTGTTTTTTTGTTTTTTCCGTTCGCCTGGTGCCCGGTGGGTGGCCGCCCATGGCCGCTGTAGCTCGCGCTGGGTTGCGCCGCGGCGCTTGCATCGCGCAGCTTGCGCCGCGCAGCTCAGAGGAGAGAAGGTACTCATGCCGCTTCCCTCCGCCCGTTTCTCCTTGCTTAGGTCTCCTCGGAGGCCCTCGTCGCCACCGCTGGACTGGACTCGCCTCGAGATTCTGGTCAGAACGCGCCCTGGGAGGTCCGGGGTGTCGCGGTGTCGGTGCCCTTTGGTGCCCCCGTGCAGCGCGTGGCCTGCGCCGCTAATGTTGTATCTTGCAGCGCGTACCTGGCGCCACGTGGAGCGCAGCCACATATTTACATATATATATATATGTTTGTATGCGTTGGTATATGTATATAAACCATGCATTTACGTTGCACCACGTTGCTTGCACCCCGCGTCGTGCACCACGCCGGTTGCACCGTGTGCACATGCTTCATCTATACACATGCGTATATATCCATATATACGTATATATATGTACATATGTATGTATGTATGTATGTATGTATGTATGTATGTATGTATGCATGTACGTATGCATGCATGCATGTATGCATGCATGCATTTATGCATGTATGTATTTATGTATATATGTATCTATGTATGTATGTAAGTATGTATGGATGTATGTATGTATGTATGTATGTATGTATGTATGTTTGCATGTATGTATGTATGTATACATGCATGCGTATATGCTTGTATGCATGCATGCATGCATGCATGCATGCATGCATGTATGTATGTATGTATGTATGCATGCATGTATGTATGTATGCATGCATGCATGCATGCATGTATGTATGTATGTATGTATATATATATATATGTATGGATGTATATACACATGTATATACACTACGCCGACCATGTATTGCACCACACATACTGCCCAGCATATCTCGCACCACATTGCTTGTATCACACATATCTTGCACCAGACCGATTGCACCACGCGTATTGCGCAACGTAGTTTGCACCACGTAGTTTGCACCACGTAGTTTGCGCCACGTAATTTGCACACGTATTGCGCCACCATATCGATTGCACCAAGTAGTTTGCACCACAAGTGACGCACACCCAGAGTGCGATGACGCGATGTTTGGGGTCCAATCTGGCAAACGCTATGTTTGGGTCCAGCGTTCCTGGTATTGGCCACGTGGACCCGAACCCCCTCCCTGGCTCTTCACGCCGCTGGCCTGGGTTTGGCCTGGGATGCGCCCTGGTTCTGCGATGGCGCAAGGTCAGCCCGTCCCCCGAGTCGGGCGGCCATGCTTGGAGGCCAGAGGCCTCGTTGGAGGCTTCGTTGGAGGCCAGCGGGCCCACTCCTCCTCCTCCTCCTCCTTTTCCTCCTCCTCCTCCTCCTCCTCCTTCTCCTCCTCCTCCTCCTCCTCTTCATCCTAACTCTTTGAAGGCGCCGCATGTTTTGATGCTTCGCCCGCCGCCATGTGGTCCTGAACCGCAGCAGTGTGTGCATGCAACGCCCGAGGCCAAGGAACCCAAAGGTGCCTCGAAGACATCAGGAGGGGAAACAACACAGTGTCACAATGAATCGTCGATCCCCCGGAAAATGCGGGAAACGACTGCGGGGGAGTACGAACGTCAAGACAATCTCAGAGCATAGGAGGAAGGCTAGGACTCCTGCCTCTTGATTCGTGTGTGGCCCAGGGCCCCTTCAAGGAGTCCTGGCCGGTGGCCTGCGCCGCGCGCCCCCGTGCCAGGGCCGAGGGCACGCCGGCGGGCAGCAGCCCCGGCGGAGGCCTCGGGCCGGCGGAGGCGGAGGACCCCGCCGCCGCCCACGAGGCGCAGGCGGCGGGGGGGGGGGCTGCGGGAGGCGGGCGTGCGGATCTCGGCCGGGGCACCGAGCTTCGCAGCAACCCGGGGGGGGGGGGTCTGGCTCGGGTGGGGGTCTCAGGGCTCGCTTCGATTCCTCCGATTCGATTCGCTTCGATTTCGATGGATTCCGATGCCGACTCGATTCGACTTGGGATTCCGATCTGGGCTCCGATTCCTCTTTGGAGGCATACTGGCCTGCCGATCTCCGCCGCTCCGACTTTTCCCGATTCGGCTGCCGATTTCCGCCGATCCGATTCATGTCGATTGCCGATCCGATTTATCGATTCGATTCTGGGCTCTCCTGGGGTCTGGCTTTCAGAGGAGGAACAGGTACCCCTGCCTCTGCCCTTCCCTCGTTTTCCCGTTTTTGGGGCCTCCCGGGCCTCCGTCGTCGCCATCGCTGGAGTGGCCTCGAAGTCTGGGCCAGAGCGCGCCCCAGGAGTGGTCTGCGGAGCAGCGGTATCGATACCTCTTGGTTTGCTCAGGCTTGGCTTGTCCTGGACTTTGCTGTCTTCCTGCGCGCGCCTTGAAGCGCAACGCGTGCCGCACCCAACGCGTCTCACGCGCGTGTCGGCCCACGTCTTGGCGGACGCATCGCGCCAGACCTCTACGCACTCGGCACACGCGTGGAGCTCCGTGTCAGCACGCTGCGGGCTGTGCGTTGCCTAACGTCTTGGAGTTTTCCCACATCAGCTCGAGCGGGGCCCGTCCGCCGTGCTGGCCCCCTCCGACCTGCGGGCCGCAGCCGCAGGCCCAGACCGACGGGGGAAGTAAAAGACTGCGACGGCCGCTCCTGGCCGACTTCGCCCTGCCAGGGGTCTGGGCAAAGGGCCGGCCTGGCGTGGCTGGCCTGGGGAGGGTCTAACGTTGCTCGCCCGGGAGGCTTGTGACCCTCCCCCCATTTACAGTGGGGGCCCATGCCAAGAAGCACCCTGCTTGCCTCCAGGGTGCCCTGGGTTTCTCCTGGGTTTCGGTGGTTCTGCGATGGAAAGCGTGACCTTCCCGCACCAGAAAACAGTGGACGTCCCGGGGTCTCAGGGTTGGGCTTCTTGCGGAAGGCTTCTTGTGGACTGGCCTCCACTGAATGCGCCCCCCCTGGCTTGGCCAGGGAGGAGCTTGCACCAGCCTTGGGCCCAGGAGGTCGCGCGCGCGGGTTCCCCCTGCTGCTCCTGCACCTCCTCCTCCTCCTCCTCCTCCTCCTCCTCCTCGTCCTTCTCCTGCTCCTCCTCCTCCTCCTCCTCCTCCTCCTCCTCCTCCTCCTCCTCCTCCTCCGTCCTCCTCGGAGGACGTCTTTGCCGAACCTCGGGCGCTCCTCCTCGGTGCCGGCGGACCCAGCTCCTCGACGAGGTGCTCCGTGCGGCCCAGGCGTGCCTCCTCGCTCTCGGCGGGCCCGGGGGCCGTGAAGAGGGGGTCCACGACGATCAAAACTACCTCTTGGGAAGTGGTCGGGGCCTCACCAGGCCCCGCACGGAAAGAAGCGGAGAAGAGGAAACGCCATGAACTGAAACGTTCGGCGCTCTGCGCGGGTTTCTTGGATCCGCGCTGGGTCCCCCCCGACGGCGCTTCCGGCGCCGCCTCTGGCGCGCTGCGCGCGCCAGGGAGGGGGTCCAGCGCTGATCCAAGCCATCCGCGCGGAGCGCCACAAGTTTATGTTTATGTTTTTTTCCTTCTTCCGAAGAATCGCATCGTCGGACGTCTGCGGATCGGGTTGGCTCCCGAGAGCTTCAGGGTGGCAGCGCGACGCCGTGGGCATCGAGTGGCGCCGGTGTTGCCCGGCAGCGGCGGCGTCTCGGCCACAGCCGTGGTCGGCGTGGCCGCTCCCCAGAGGAGCCGTCTCGCAGGCCGCTCGTCGTTCGTGCGCCAGGGAGGTGGGGCCCGGCGTCGCTGTCTTCAAGACGGGCGAGTCCGCCCCCCTCTCTCTGGGCATCCTCGCTGTCGATCCACACCAGACCAGCCGCCAGGCGGACGGAGGGAAGGAGAGCCGATGGTCAGTGGAACCTGGCGTGTCTGGTGGCTGGTGGAGGGGAGGGTGGGAGGCCAGATCGGCTCTCGGGTCGTGTGGGGACGCCCCGGAGCCAGCCTCGAAGGGCGGCCGACCGCCAGGGCATGGTCTGCGCCCGCCGCCTCGGGTTCGTGCCCAGGCACCCTGGGGGAGTGGTGGCCATGGATGCCCAGGCACCCGACGACGTGTTTTCTTCAATCAGCGTGCCCGAGATTTCCTGACAGCCTCCCCAGGGACAGCCTTCCATGCTGCACCCAGCTTTGATGGTCCTGGGGCCCGCAGACAGCCCGCGGAGGCGGCAAACGTGGGAAGACGTTTGAAACAGCTCGAGATCGAATCTCTTCCGATGTCTTGGTGCCTGCCGGCCATTGAGGGCGGGGAAGAGTTGCCCACATCCGCCGCTCCCTGGGGACCTGGGGCGCCGAATCCTCCCCCGATGCTGCCTCGACGGTGGTCTGGACGTCGTGGCCCTTTTCACCCCCCCCACCGCCAGAGGGTCCGGGTCTCCATCCGCCTTGTCCTCCAGCGCTGCCTGCTCCGTCGTCGTCGTGGCCGTCTTCGTCGTCTTCGTCGTCGTCCGTATTCAGAGGTGGGGTTCATCGTCATCATCATCATCATCATCATCATCATCATCATCATCATCAGCTTCATCATCAGCTTCAGCATCAGCATCAGCATCGGCATCATCATCATCATCATCATCATCACCACCACCGTCATCATCATCGTCATTATCAGCAGCAGCAGCAGCAGTACCACCATATCAGCATCATCATCACCATCACGACCATTATGCCCATCCTGAGTCTTGGCCATGCTTACGGCCACACTCATCGTCAACATCTTAATCGCCATCACCATCACCATCACGGTAGAAGCATCGTCATAACCATCACCATCGTCGTCATCATTAGTATTATTGCCATCAGCGTCGTCGTCATCGTCATCGTCATCATCATGGCAATAACCATCGTCACCATCGTCATCATCATCATCATCAGGGTTTCCCTTGCACTTGAATCCTGTGCGTCTCGTCGGTACCAGCCGCTTGACCCACAGTCGCCAACTTCTTACCGCAATCGCAGTGGCTCAAGCTTCAGAGGCTTGGGGTGGGCATCATCCTCACGTTCACCCTCATCCTCATCCTCATTCTCATCGCCATCCTCATCCTCTCCATTACCGTCATCATGTGCAAGTGAGTGAGCAGTTAGATTAAACCGTACACCAGCAGGCCAACAGCTACGAAAGTTGCCGCCTGTAAACGGAAAAAACGTATATCTTCCAGCGGGGCGTTTTAGCGCCCGGGTGTGGCCTAGAAGCCCTAGGGGCGGCGGAAAACACAAGCCCGCGGCCTGAGAACAGGGACGGGGTTGGCAGTCCGCGGCCGCGAGGAGGCCTGCTAGACATGCAAGCTACACAAACACGGCACCGCACAAGAAAGAGAAAAAGAGGAGGGGGAGGAAAATGAATCAGGCAGCAGTGGCAGCCTCAATCTAGAGCACGGGCCTCTTGGCTGGTTGCGTGCTGTCTTCTCTCTCTCTCTTATTTTCGGTTTGTTTTTCCTCACTTTCCTTCTTCTCCTCTCTCTTTTGGACGTTCTGGCCTATCTTCGATTTGTGGCCATGTCTTGTTAGTTCTCCTTCTGGCGCTGACGCCGCAGCACACGCCGCCGCAGGTAGCCCGCTTTGCAGTCTGGCTGGCGCTGGGGCAGTGTGCCAGGCTCGGTGGACTGGACGTGATCGCTCTTCCTCCCCCTTTCGCGTCGTGCCCGCTTGCCCTCTTGTTCCTCTTTCGCTTCGTGTCCGCTCTTCTCTTCCCCCCTCCTGCGCTGCCTCCTCCTTCTCTCTTCAAATGTGCAAAAACAGAGCACGCGTGCCACCTGTCTTGTGTTTCACGCATGGGCCCATGTACCATTTGGCGGCCACCATGCAACCCTCCATGGCATGCCGTGGCACAGTTCCGCTGTGGTGATCTGCAGTGCAGGGCGATGATGTCATCATTTGCCGCGAAAGAAAATCCCCATTACCGTCGTCATCATCATCATCATCATCATCATCATCATCATCATCATCATCATCATCATCATCATCATCATCATCATGGACACATCGTTTGGCGATTGGGGGCCTTAGACCGTCTCGGGTGCCCCTTGGGGCACTCTTGGCTTGTCGTGATACTTTTTGAGGCCCTGGGGCCCCCAAGGGGGGGGGATGCGTATCTGACCCCCTCCCCCCTCGGACCCTCCCCCCGCTTACCCCCACTGCCGCCCCCCCCCCCCTCGACGGGGTTGGGATCACAGGGACGGGGCTTCCCTTCGACCCGATTGCGGCGTTGCTGGATTTTCCTCTCACTGACAAGCTTGAGGAGGAAGATGCAGGAAAAGGGGACGACGGACACGACGATTGACGGAGACGACGACTCGAACAGACACGCCCGTTATTGCAGGCAGGGTCGGCGGATAATCATCGTCGTTACCATCCATCATCACCGTACCATAGTCACTGTCATCATCATCGTCATCATCCTCGTCATCATCCTCAACGTCATCATCGCCATTACCGTCGTCTTCGTTATTATGCATCAGTATCGTCATCGCCATCGTCGTCATCATTATCGTCGTCATCGTCGTCATCGTCATCATTATCTGTCCTTGTACGTGAATCCCGTGCGTCTTGTCTGTAGCATCACCTCGTCTCCAGCCGCCCAATCCTCACCGCAACCGCGGAGACCAAATCCTCAGAGGCTTGGTGTTGGGCTCATCATCACCACCACCATCCTCGTCAGCATCATCATCACCATCATCATCATCATCATCATCATCATCATCATCATCGTCATCGTCATCGTCATCGTCATCGTCATCGTCATAGTCATAGTCATCGTCGTCACCGTTATCATCATCAGTTTCTTCATCATTCCCAGCATCGTCATCATCGTCATCGTCATCGCCATAATGACCATCATGTCCATCACCATCGTCATCGCCATCACCATCCTCATCGTCACCAGCATCGTTGTCAGCATCATCTTCCTTCATCATCGCACCATCATCATCATCATCATCATCATCACAACCGCCATCGTCATTGTCAGTATCATCAGCCCCCTTATCGTTATTATTACTATAGTCATCATCATCGATATCCTCATCATCACCATCATCAGCATCGTCGTCATCATCATCATCACTACCACCATCATCATCATCCATCAGCACCAACCGCCATCATCGTTACCGCTGTCATCATCATCGCCACCGTCATCGTCGTCATCATTCTCATCGGCATCAGCACTCCCATGGTTAACACCATCGTCATCACCATTATCTTCACTAACAGTACCATCATATTCATCATCCTTGTCATGGCACTCATCAACATGACCATCACCATCATCTCCATTACCATCAGCATCATCATCACCATGTTCGTCATCATCATCATCATCAGCATTATGACTATCATCGGCAACAACATCATTATCAACATCATCGTCGTTACCATCACCGCACTCACCATCGCCATCACCATCTCATCGCCATCATCGTCACCGGAACGATATGTGTATATATGAATAGATATACTTTTATATATAGAGAGATAGATATATATATATACACACACACACATATATATATATATATATATATTCATATAGAGGGAGAGAGAGAGTAACCAACACACAACACACATAGATAGAGAGAGAGAGAGAGCGAGAGAGAGAGAGAGATATGAACACACAGAGAGGGCGAGAGAAGGGAAGAGAGCGATATAGAGATATAAAGAGAGAGAAAGAGAGAGAGAGAGAGAGAGAGAGAGCGAGCGAGAGAGAGAGAGAGAGAGAGAACGAGAACGAGAAAGAGAAAGAGAAAGAGAGAAACAAATAGAGAGAGAGAGAGAGAGAGAGAACGAGAGAGACAGCCACGCACTGATGGTCGTCCAGGCGCCTGGGCTACCAGCGCCGCGCACGCCGAACGCTTCTGGCCTGGGCGTGCAGTTCGCGAGGGTCCCAGGCCCCTTTCGGCGCTTGGCAACTGCAGCGCAGGACGGACGGTCGGCATGGCCCTGGGCCACGACGCAGCGCGACGATCAGCAGGGCCGCGGTGGCGGAATGGCAGATGAGAGAGAGAGAGAGAGAGAGAAAGAGAGAGAGAGAGAGAGAGATTGGAAACAAGAGAGAGAGGGGCAGGCCTGGTGCGCTGGCGCCATGTCTGGCATCCTGCCCCTCCCCTCCGTCCCTTAGCATGGTGCCGAATTCTTCTCTATTTGCCGACGGGCGTCCTGGCCGACCTGGATCCCCCGATGGACCCCATCTTGCGATGCGGGGTCAGACGGGTGAGCTACATACACTGGAGAAGGAGGAGGAGGAGGAGGAGGAGGAGGAGGAGGAGGAGGAGGAGGAGGAGCAACAGGAGGAGGAGAAGCAGGAGGAGGAATAGGAGGAGGAACAGGAAAATGAGCAGGAGGAGTATGAAGAACAAGAGGAAGGAGGATGAGGAGGAGGAAGCAGAGGAGGAGGAGGAGGAGGAGAGGGAGGAGGAGGAGGAGGAGGAGGAGGAGGAAGCAGGAGGAGGTGGGGGAGGTAGCGGCAGTAGGAGCAGGAGGAGGAGGAGGGGGGTAGGAGGACGAGGAGGAGGAGGAGGAAGCAGCAGGAGGAGGTGGGGGAGGTAGCGGCGAAGGAGGTAGAGGAGGTAGAGGAGGTAGAGGGGGAGGAGGAGGAGGAGGAGGAGGAGGAGGAGGAGGAGGAGGAGGAGGAGGAGGAGGAGGAAGCAGGAGGAGGAGGAGGAGTGAGGAGGGGTGGCGGGGGGGGGGCGACAGCGACGAGTGCAGCGAGGCGAGGCGGGGAGAGGTTGCCGATCGGCAGGGCAGGTTCCCCAATGGGGTCCGCTGTGCTCGGCCTCTCGCTTGCCCCGCGGGGCGCCGTGTACGGTCGGGCGGCGTGGGGCGCTGAGAGTGGAGGAGGGGGAAGGAGGACAGGGAGTGATGGGGGGGGGGAGGAGGGCAGGGAGGGTAAGGGACGGGGAGGGGGACAGGGAGGGAAGGGGCAGGGAGGGGGACAGCGAAGGGGTGGGGACCGAGAGGGAAGGGACGGGGATGGGGCCAGGGGGCACAGGATTGCCCACGCCGTGAAGAGGTCACGGCGGGGGGTGTTGGGCCATTGCCGGCCTCGGGGTTCAGACCTCTGGGGGTCCACGTCGTGAGAAAGTCATGGCGTCGGGGGTAGTATAGGGTGGGGGGGAGGGGTGGGTGGGATGGGAGGGAGTGGAGGTGAGGGAGGAGGGGGAACACGAGTCGATGGGGGAGGGGGGGTAGGGACGGGGAGGGAGAGGAGACGAGGGATGGAGACAGGGGACGGGAGGGGAGGAGATGGGGGAGGGGTATGCCGGATTTATGCGGCGGGGGGAGGGGATGGGACGAGGAGGGGCGGAGCATCAACGGATGGGTTGGCGCGCAATTGCCGTCTATGCCGCTACCGCACCGTCGGGAGGCGTACGGCCGTCTCGGACCTGTGCCAGAGACGAGTCCCGTCGTGCTCTCGACGCCGGCGGATGGGTCGCAGGCTGGAGCTTGCCAAGCGCTTGTTCATTGTAGCGGACAGATCGCTTGTAGCCTATGGAGTCGGATCCCTCTCTTCCCCTCCTAATCCTTCCCTTGCTCCTCTTGCTGCTGCTCTTGTTCGGTGGCCCATGATACTCTGGCCGGTCAGAACATGCTATGTCTTCGAGCCCGTTTGTTCTCATCCTTTTCCCTCTTTCTCTGCCGCGTGCTCCTCCTGCTGCTACTTTTCTCCTCCGCCCTCTCTCTCTTCTCTCCTCCTTTCCTTCCTTCCTCCTCCTCCTCCTCCTCCTCCTCCTCTCCCTCCCTCCTCCTCCTCCTCTCCCTCCCTCCCTCCCTCCCTCCCTCCCTCCCTCCCTCCCTCCCTCCCTCGCTCCTCCCTTCATCTTCGGAGGGCAGGCGAGCTCCCCGTCGTGTGCCCTCGCTGTGCCTGGGCGCCCCCTGTGGTTCGTTGGCCGTCCAGGGGCCCCTGCCCAGCTATGTGGAGGATGTCAGCTGTAGAAGCGAGAATCAGGAGGGAAAAAACACACACAGACACAATTAATCGTCGATCCCCAGGAAAATATGGGAAAATATGGGAAGTGGGGGGGAAGACAGAAACCCAGAAAATATTGGAAAATATGGGGAATCTTTTTATTTGTGTGTACTCCAGATTTCGTAATAAAAGGAAAGGGGGTCTGGACCCTCCAAGACAAGCCATTTCAGACCTCCCCTGTGGGAGAACCCTCCAAAACATCGTCCCCAGACCCCCCAGGCCCTCCAAGATAGCCTGGAAGAGACCCCCCCCGAAATGAGACTCCCCTCCCTTTATTACGAAATCTGGGGTACTCGTTCGCCTACTCCAAACTCCTTATTAATCGTCCCCCGGGTCTGGTTTTTATGGCGCCTTTTTTTGTAACCGGGGGCGACCGGTTTATTCGGGCGCTTGCTTTGGATTGGAGCTCAGGGGGTCCGGTTTGTGCAGGCGCCCCGCCGACGAGAGGGGTCCGGAATATCAGGTCGCGCTTGGAGGGGGGTCCGGCTTTTTAGGGGGGGTGATTCATATGGGATTCGGAGTACTCGATCTTGGGATGCAACTCCTGGGAGGTCAAATTCTGATTTTGCACTGGTCCGAAGTCCGGCTTAATCCGGCTAAATCCGGCTTAATCCCGCTTCATCCCGCTTCATCCGGCTTAATCCCGCTTAATCCGAGGCCCACTCCGGCGTAATAGCTCCCGACTGGGGCTTCATCCTCCTTCATCTCTCCGACGAAAGCCTCCCAGTGGTTGCCTCCCAATCGATCGCCCGAGTCGCTCCCGCCCGCCGCCGCGCGCGGAGCCGTTTTGAACTCGCGGGGCCCTTTTTCCGGGCGGGCGCGCGGCCCAGCGCGCCACCGCTGTAGAGGAGCGCGCCCGCGGGGTCTCCGCGCAGGAGGGCGCGCCCCTGGGGGGGAGGGCGGGCCTGGGATGCCTCCCCTGGAGCCTTGAGGCGGGGGTCAACGCAAACGCACAGAGACCCAACGCATTGGAAAAATCAAGACGGACGTTTTTCGTAATTTTCGGCCTGTAGGGGCCCTCGCCGGGCCCCGGGACCGTCAAAAACGACTCAGGATGAAAAACCGATCCTGGGGAAAGGGGCGAAGTTTCCGGGGACCCCGTATTGAAAAAATCACGACGTCCTTGTAGGGGGCCACACGCGAACCCTACCCCTACCCCCAACGATTTCTGAGGGGGGAGGGTGGGGTTCACTTCGTCTTGGAGCTCCCGAGCGAAGTGAACCCGACCCTCCCCCTCGGAGATCGTGGGGTAGGGGTAGGGTTCGCATGTGGCCCTCTATCCCCTGGAGCCTTGCCGCGTGGGTCAACGCAAGCGGGGGTCAGCCAGGGCAACGGATCCTGCAGGATCCTGCGAAGACCCCCTCTGGCTGGCCTGGGTTAGCGAGCCGCTCGTGGCCGCGAGGGCGGCCGCGCATGTTGGCTGACCCGGGTTTGCGAGGACCTGCGTTGCAGTTCTTTTTTCCTGCGTGGCAGTTTTTTGGTTTCCTGCTGACCCGGGCGGATTGACCCGGGTCAGAAGATCCCCGACCCTGGCTGCGGTTCAGCCGGGCCTGTCCCTCTACAGGAGGAGTATGCAAAAATAGTCAAACAAATTAGTCAGTTCACATTTTTTTGTTCAAATGGTTTTTCGTCCGAAATCCCCCTGTGGGGGGATATGCCCGACCTAACCCTGGCTGCGGTCGGGGAGCGGGGCAGCGGGAGGAGGATCCGGATCGGAGGTTCCTGGTTCTTTCGGTGGGCTCTCGTGGGCTTTCCAGCAAGTTTTCGGGGCATGGGGCGGTGTTCATCAGCTGCGCCTCGTCGCGGGCGTTCCGGAGGTGCCTGCATCGTCCTGAATGGATGCCCGAGACCCGAGTTTATTCTGACCCGAAAGCCGAATCTCCGATCAGGACCAGAGTTCCGAGCGAACCTCTTGTCTCCATCAGCCACACGACTACGACAGGCTCGGAGGAACGGCCCGCCAGGGGGTTCAGGCTCATGGCGGGGGTGCCTTCGAGGCTACGCCGAAGGCAAGCGTCCCCTGCCCCAAGCCCGCCTCGGGCACGCATCACCCAGGACGGGCTCAGCAGGGAACCGAGCAGCGGGAGGAGGGGATGGTGGATGGCGTTGTTGGCTTGCTGCAAGGGTGCGTGTGCGAACTGCAAGAAGGTCTATGTCGAATTCCGCAGCAGATCTCTCATTCGTGGTGCTGCCCTTCACGTCTCGCATTAGTGCGTTCAGCAGTGTACAGGTTTTCTGTAGAAGCGCGTTGACATACGAAAGCGTCAGCATCATTGTTTTTGCTTTTGTTGTTGTTGGGAGCGGGGGTATTTCATTTTTCTATCTGTCCACATAGATGCTTGTACATCCAGTATCTATGTACTGGTCGCAGATCTATACTTATACATGTCTATATACATATATGTCTGCATGTATGTGTAGGTGTATTTACGCATTTGTGTATACAGCCCATCACGTTTTTCTTTGCATGTAGGTACATGTCTAAATTTTTGACAATGTCGATGTATGTGTGTGTAACTGTGTAGTTTTTATTGTACATGTATCACACATGTATACATGCATGTGTGTATGTATGCATGCATGCATGTATGCGTGTGTGACTTCATACATACACGCACATATGCATGCACTCCTGTATGTATGTTTTCATGCTTGTTTGTATGTGTGTATGTGTGCATGCGTACCTGCATACATGCATGCATGCATGCGTGTATGTAATGTATGCGCGTACGTACGTATGCATGTATGTGTATATGCAGTCTGTATGTGTGCACCTATGCATGTATTTATGGATGCATCTATATATATATATACACATGTTGATATAGATATGTAGGTTTGTATACAGGAATGTATTCACGTATGTGTGTGTATATGTATGTATGTTTGCATGCATGCACGCTTGTATGTATGCGTGCATGTATGCATGTCTGTATGCGTATGTATATCTATGTATGCATGTATGTTTGAATGCATGCAGGCATGCATGTATGCATGTATTCATGCATGCACGTATGCATGCATGCATGATTATAGGTATGTATGCATGCATGCATGTCTGTATGTGTGTATGCATGCAGTTGTGTATGTATGTATGTTATCATGTATGCATGCATGTAAGTCTGCCTGTCTATCTGTCTGCCTGTCTGTCTGTCTGTCTGTCTGTCTGTATGCATGTATGTATGTATGCATGCATGTATGTATGTATGTATGTATGTATGTATGTTTGTATCTACATACGCATCTACACATTTCACACACACATATATATATATATATATATATATATGTATGTATGTGTATGTATAGGTGCGTGTAGGCAAGCATCCAGCTGGCTCCTGCAGTTCCGCCACCGTGCTGGCGCAGCATTGTGGGTGGCAGCTGCCCGAGAAGGCAGGGGTGCCTGCTGGGAGCCTCTTCGGGCGGAATGCTGGAATTGTTGGTTCGTGTGTCCCCTCTTGGGGC